ACAACGGTCTGCTGTGTGTTCCGCCTGTTTTGGAAGTCCAGCAAGTAACTTTGTTTCAAGAACCGCAAACCTTTGTAGAAGTTTATTGCATTACATGCAGCAAGTAGATTCCACAAGAGGCATTTTCTTTCTCATCTGTTTGAATGTAGGCAGCTGTGCTTTCCCGTCTTCGGAATGCAAGCTGCTGGCAATGGGAGGCAGAGTCTTCTTTTTCGTAGTATTATTCCAGTCCCGAAAAGTTTTTAGTTTAGTGTTTGTGCCAAAAATTTGTTGTTTGAGCACTGTGCTGATCTGCTGAAGTAAAAATCTTAGAAAAATCAGAGAAAAGTACAGAAATAGGAAGCAAAGCGCAGAGCAGTAAGCAAGAAAGTCCGAACGGTAGCGAAGCCGGAAGCAGAGAATGCCGGAAGCAGAGAATTAGCAGAGAATGAAGAGAGGAGTGATCGATATACATTAAGGTCAGTAGGATTTTGTGATTTGCGCCATACCCTGCTCGGTGGAGTCGAACGGTAGAGTCAATGGTCTTTACACTCTTCGGTCTTCACACGAGGAGAGCTTCACACAAGGGCTGCCGCGACCGCGTCTAACAAAACTCAAATTGAATTCAGCTGGACACTTTCCTGTTTATCACAACAAATGGCCAAGCAAAGCGCACGACACTGACAAGGTACGCGATACAGAACGAGACCAAACGCGATTTCAGCACGTCTCCACACAGTAAACAAAACAAGCGTTTCCTAGCAACGACAACTGCGCTAAACACTGAGACAAGAAATAAATACACTTACAAGCGGCTTTTAACTTCCGCTGATTGACTGCTTCTCACAAAGAGTATTTCTTTACACTGTTTTGCTGGCGCTTGAACACACTTTCCTGTTTATCACAACAAATGGCCAAGCAAAGCGCACGACACTGACAAGGTACGCGATACAGTACGAGACCAAACGCGATTTCAGCACGTCTCTACACAGTAAACTGGTACTGGAACAGGAGAAATTGTATTTTGACAATGACATTCTAGTTTCATGGTTCCAGATTCATCACAGTACAATGTTTTTAAAACCATCCTAAAAATATAATAAACATTTTAAACATTTAATTTACATTTTTGTTTAAATAATTTAAATTTTCATTGTTACTAATATGCTAAAAATATTGTTCTTTTTATTTTTTATTTTTCTATTTTCATTAACATGCAAAAAGTATTTTATTTTATTTTATTATTTTATTTTATTTTATTTTTCCATGTTTAAAAGCACAGCAGAGCCACAGTGTTTACCGTTTCCAAGTACTGGGACAGGAGACATTTTTTAACATCTAAAAAATTACAATGAATCATATGAAAAACATACTGTAAATACTGAAATATAACTGGGATTATCTATAGATACGATACGCTGACTTTCTTCTCAGAGGCCTGTCATGACCTGTGTTTATGTTGTCAGTTGCTTATCTGCAGCTGAGGTAATGACGTTTGCTTTTACTCCAGCATTGGTTAATTGAAAGCACACACGCGTAGAGAAAGGGCAGCTGTGGCGGTCCCAGCGAGACCCCTCCTTCACATCCCAAAACATGGAGCCACCTGTGTGTTGTGTGACAGCTGACAAAGCTCACACTCTCGTGACAGATCTCCGAGTGCTGATCCTAGCCTTCACAGTCGCTCTCTTCACTTATTTTAAGCTTACACAGAGAGTGTGTTGCACTTTGAAAGACTAGAAGAAAGTGAAAGCGAGAGAGAGAGGGAAACGGGCGGTATTTTTCTAGGTGATGGAATCTGTTGAGGTTTATCATGATGGTTTTGTCTCCCACGTGATATGGTTTTGTTACCCACGCGACGGTACGGTACTGACAGATGCCTCAGATACTTTTCTTATGAAGATTGTCAGACTTCGCTGTCGTGAATACATGTGCTGTTGTACAAAGATCTGTTCTGAAGAGGAAATCGCATGTTTTGTTTAAGTAAGAGAACTACTTTGGAGACTTTTTATGACTGATTTTAACTGGATAAACAAGCTATTTTTTGGCACAGCTTTTTGTAGTAGCTGTACATTTGTCTGTCATTGTGTAAAACTGTGTGTGTTTGTTGCAGAGAGTTCACAGTATCCAGAGTTTCACACTTGCAATTCAGAAACGGTCACATTTCGAGACTCAGGAAGCGATACAGATGGATTTCTCAGCCCTGACACTGGAGAAGACAACATCTTCAGAAAGGTGAGAGAAAGATTTGTACCTTTTCTGAAGAAGTGTGAGTTGTTTGCCACATTGGGCATTGTTATGTGGTTGCTTACTGCTTAAGTGTTATGTTATGCTATGTTGTGCTATTTTTTTTTATTTTTTTTATTTTATTTTATTTTATTTATTTTTCTGGTCCACCAGGAAAAATTGTTAGTCTGCTCACTTAAAAAAATAATAGAGCACAACAAGCTGCATGATTTGAGGTTTCATCCATGTCTGCACGAATGTGCAGGATGACTCATGCATAAGAGCTTTAAAAAGTCCCTAACTTTAAGTATGAGGAATAATAAAAGCGATTTCTTATCAAATGTTTTTTGATAATATGATGATCCTTTTGCAAGGACTATACTGTATATGAAAAGTTTTCCAACTAATATTTTAAAACATATTTCTAGCATTTTATTTTTAAAAAAAGGTCTGTTTCTACTGTTACAGTACCACTAGATATAAAACAATAAAACAATGGAATAAAATAGTTCTGATTAATATCACGATTTTGGACCAGTCTTTAGAATAAAGAATACATGAGTAATAATGGGAAGTTCAGTATGTATGTATGTATGTATTTATTTATTTATTTTTAATTGAATTCAATAATTTAATTTAATTTTATATATTAATAAATTTTTTTTCTCTGAACGTTTCTGTGGACCATCTTGCATCCATTTGTGAACCCCAGTTATAAACCCCTGCTTTAAATAAATTAGTGCAAAAAACACTAATAACCACATAATGCAGAGAAGAAATTCAGAATTCTGATACATATCTGATGATGCACGCCGAATTGGTCATTTTTGTGTTCATGTGACACCAGTTCTGGGGGGTTTTTAGGACACTTAAATGTTAAAATCCACCAGAGGGTTTTTTTCCACTGGGTCACGTGGTTATAAGTTCTCTAGAACCCTTTTAAAGCTCTTGCATGCTCACACACACACACACACGCTTATAAACAACCCCCTCTGCTTCCTCGCACACATGCTCAATAGAAGCTGTTTCAGGGGCACATGAATAGAGGGCTTTCATCCCCCCCAGAGCACTGACAAAAACCTCAGTGTGTGTCAGAAGCTCAAATCCTCTTCACCTTGTCTCTCATGGCACCAGCGCTTGACACAATAGACTCATCAAAACCTCATGACTGCTTTAAGTTTAGGTGTGTGAGATCATAGGTTACGGTTTGTGTGTGTCACAAGATGCCTGGATGGATGAAAATAAGGAGTCTGTGAGTGTGTGTTGGTGTGTAGACGTCTTGGTCGGTCTAGCAGACTCATTTCACCCTGCTGATGATTCAGTGACATACTTTTTCACTTTAAAGTGAGAGACAGCAGTCAGAGATGCACACAAGTCTGAGGGAAACAGACTCTTACAGTATAGTTGCAGTGGACCGTAGGAGTCAAACATGAGTGAGTGTTATAGATGAAATGTGAGGAAGAGGAAAGTCCTAAAAATAATCAAAATGCTAATAAAGCAATGATGTTATTGCTCTGTTAAATTTGGAACCCTCTTTTGTCAATGCAAACTTTTCAAACTTTAGTCTTTAGTCTATTTTTTTTTTCAGTATTAAATTTCATGTATAATTCCAAAGTTAATCAATAATAGGTCAGGTTGTGAGATCAGGATCAGCTTGTTAACTAAAAGTATTACAAATAATTTTCTTTAATTGAAATATACCTGAAATAAAATATAATTATTAGATGAAAAACTTCAACCTAAAAATATTTTATGAAAATGAGAAATGTTGCCTTTGCTGTTAACTGAAATTAAATAATATGTTTAAGTTGAAGTACTAAAACTACTAAAACTGAATTAAAAATAAATTAAAGCTAATTAGAGATACAAACCCCCCCCCCCCCCAATAAAAAACTGCTTAGTGAATAAAGTGGGAGATTGCAAGTTAGGGACAGCGAAATCTTTATATTATTTCCATAACTCAAGATTTGGACTCATTGCATTTATTTATTTTTAGATTGTTTTGTTTGTTTTTCAATATCTGGCAATGCCGGCATTTAAACTGACAGTAATCAAAAACGACCAGGTTAAAAACAACGCGGGCAGGTTGCAATTTGGTAACACAAACGTAATGATCATCATGATATATTATCTGTAAGACAGATACACTGAAGACGGACACAAAGAGGAGAGAATAGTCGCGCAAGCAGAGAAAATACTGTAACGTTACCAGACAGCATAGGCGCGGGACGTGGGTGTGCTGGGTGCTGCAGCAGCACCCCCTGTTTTTTCTGTGGGCAACTTTAACTGTTTAACTGTTGGGAATAAAAAAAAAGTCCAAATAGCCCGCCTTGTTGGCAGAAGCTTACATTAATTCCACCCACCAACGTGTGATTGGGCTAGTCATCATTACAAAAGACGGTTATAAATCATCAGATTCAGTGGCATAGATGGTAAAGTTTGTGTCATACTCCTTTTTGACGCGATCGACCCGGGTTCGAATCTGCCTTTTGGCAAACTTTTTTTTTCTCCCTTTTCAAAATTCAAATAACATCAGAAAAGCATTTATTTTTAATAAAAATTAAGGAAATAATAAAAAAGTTGAAAATAAAGTATCGGGTAGGATTAAGGGTAGGTGTAGGGAGGGCTTTTGTCCCAATAGTGGCATCCATTTAATAATTTGAATTAAAATTAAAATTTACACTCAATAAGTTATTATTGCATACTGTTTTATAATGTATTACAATGCTGAGGTGCAGATAATTGCCACTATTTGCAATAAGTAATTAGCAGAATACCCTGCTATATTAACATAGTAGGCTATAGGCTAAATATAATCTATAGCTTAGTGTAAATAGCATATGATATCACAAAAAAATACTGCTATTTTCACTTAGTGGAAATAGCCTCTATCGCCGCCACCTATGGTATGTTCTATAAGCGACACCTGGTTTCAGAGATTGAATTTGCATTTTCATCAGAATCAGAAAGAGCTTTATTGCCAAGTGTGT